ACCCAGCGCAGGTGAGGTCCCCACAAGCGCGTCAATAGGGCCTAGACTCCTGACGCGCACAGGACGCTGCACGCATGTGGACATACGCACATAGGCACACACCGAGGCATCCGCTTGCGCTAATAAAACCACGGGAGCTGGCCCCACGCACAGCACAACTGTATTAATCCCTCCCTACTTTTCAAAAAAAATCTAAAATGTCGCCCAAGGGCACCACCAGGTCCCACCCTTGTGCGGTGCACTCAGAAGTCCAAGGCTCACACCCAGAAACGGAAAAATCAGCCTCTACTTGTCCTGGGGTTAATTACAATAAATTAACACTTATTGGAAATCGATCGTGCCTGGCGTTCTAATAGCGTCACAGAAGTAGTCTTGAATCTTCCAGCAACCTGGGAGGTGATCTTAGAATCTCCCAGTTCCACGAAGGACAACAGAGCTGAGAGGGTAAAGATTCCAGAGAACAAGACAGATTTGAACCCATGATTCGGCGTCCCCAAGGTTTCCCAGTAGCACATGACAGTCCAGAGCCTGGCTCCTGAGCATCCCCGTCCTGGCCACCTGAGTGGTTTGGTGTCCAATGGACGGATGTTCCTATTTCAGGAGTATAGCATGGGCAGCGGGGCCTGAGAGGTCGAGACAGAAAAGAGGGCAGCTCGCCTCAAACCAACCAACCAAACAAACAAACAATCAAACAAACAACCAAACAAGAACAAAACAACTTGGTCCGGTTTCCAGGGACACAGCCTTGCGGCTTTCCTTGCCTCCTGAGGTCGGGGCAGCCAGGCAGTACTGTGGGAGAGACAGACAACGTTCCCGGAAGTAGGACGCCAGAGAACAGCGTGCACAAATCAAGCCCAGCCCTCTCCCTGTCCCCATGTGGGGAAAGATCTCCCCGAGTGGGGTGGCTGTGTTAACCAGGTTGCTGGAGTCCCCGAAAGGCAGGATCATTTTTTTTTAGTTCAACAGGATGTTGAGCGGCTGCGTTTGCCTGGAAAATCTTGCACCAGTCCCTTACCGGTCCCTTGATCTTGGAGCATCGATTTCTCATCTTGATGCACGCGGAAGGGGGTGGCTGTGGTATTCCTCCACAAGGTATGTTGTGGTGATGAGAATGTGTTATTAAACCCTTGTTCGTTGACGACGCTTATTGTGATGGTTACTATTAACGCTAGTAAGAGGTTCTTATCAGGAGTTTGGGGTTGGCAGCTGGGGGGAAGGGAGGGTAAGGTTGGGAAGAGAGTTTATTTTGAAGTCAGCCTTCCGTCAATCCTACCACCCAAGCACATTCTTCTTGGGGACTGTGAGCCTCCACCCAGGCAGACAGGAGGACTTGGAGGACCGGGCTGTGAAGTGCCAGGCAGGGATCCCCAGAAACCTAGAGAATGACATCTGAGAAGCCGGAAGGGGACTCAGCCTGGTTGTCCAAAGGAGGGAAAGGCGAAGAGAAAAGAGGCTGGGTGTGGGAAGCAAGGAAGTTAAGCCAACCTTGGGCAACTTTTATTCCATTGGGTCCTCTTCTGTAACACAGTTCCACTAATCGGGCCAAAGGCAAGAGTTGTTGGGAGGGGCAGAGACCGCAATGGTGGGCGCTTAGCATGGATTTGAAGCAGTGTTACTCTTCTACAGCGCTCATCTCCCGGTCCTGTAGAGGTGGCTCATTCAGAGTCTGCTAGTTTCTCTGAGGAACGAGAGAAGGGAGGTTCTTAACCACACTGAACCATCTGATATTTGCAGGAAGAGCCATGAACAGTAGCTGGTATTATCTGTATGGACATGGATGGGGTTCTTGTTGCTGTTGCTGTCAGCTATATCATTTCTATTCTTACTATCAATTCCTGGAGCTAGTCGTCATTAACAGGCTTGGAGATGGTCAGAGGCTGCATGGGATCTAATGTAGAAGTACAGATGTTTCCAAGATGATGGTTCTTGCCCAAAACCAGGAGTGGAGGAAGAAAAAGCTCTAAGGGAGATGCCCGCCCCCTGGTAGGTCCAGAGCAGAGGATTTATTTGCATTCCAGTAAGGACACTAATTGACCAGATCTTTATCTAAACACGATAGCAATGACATGAGACTTTAGAGATTCGTTTACAGCAGCTGAAAAAGGAGCAGGAAGCTTGGTTATATTTGGAGATTTCTGGGGCTGGGGGTTGGGGGAATGAGAATGGGGAGTGGGGGTTGGGGCCAGAAGAGGCAGTTGACTCCACAAGTCATTTCCTAAAGATTAAGAGAACAATTCCTGCCCCTTCACCACCACCCAGGTCAGAAAACAGAGGGCTGGGAGTCCTGGGAATCCAGCCCCAAGCTTAGACCAGCACAGGTTCACCTCTTCCCTGCTGGGATCCAGCAGCCCTCTCTCACCAGATACCATTACAAAACTTCCCCAGTGTTTCTCTGAAATGTTTCGTTGTTTGTTTTAGAGGCAGGCTGACCTGGACCATGTTATGTAGCTGAGGCTGGATTTGAACTCCTGACTCCCTATTCTGCTTCCACTTCCCGGTGCTGGAACTACAAGTGTGTGCCCCCTTACTACTGTGGTTTCCTCCAGTGTTGTGATGTTTTGTTTTGGTTTTGTTTGTTTGTTTGTTGAGACAGGGTTTTTCTGTGTAGCCCTGGCTTGGCTGTTCTGGAACTAGCTCTGTAGACCAGGCTGGTCTTGAACTCATAGAGATCCACTTGCCTCTGCCTCCTGAGTGCTGGGATTAAAGGCATTCGTTCATCACCACCAAGTCTATTTCTTTAATCCTTCAGCAGGTCTATAAAGTTCACACCATTGTTATCTCCTTTAAAAAAAGATATATACATTCTATTTTATGAGTGTTTGCTGGCATGAATGTATGTCCACCGTGTGGTGTCTGGTGTTCACAGAGGTCAGAAGAGGGCATTGGCTCTCCACTGAAACTAGACTTATAGACAGCTCTGTGAGTGGCTGGGAACTGAACCCAGGTTTTCCAGCAAGAGAGATAAGGGTTCCAAACTGCTGAGTCGTCTCTCCAGTCCCCATTTTTACCTTTTATCAGTGAGAAAACTGCTGCTTGGTGAGGCTGAAAAATTGGACTAAGGTCATGTGGGCAGGGCTCTACTCCACACCTAGGTCTGATGGGTTCTAAGGGCGGGGCTCTGGTCCAGCACAGAGGTATAAGGTTATAACTCAGAGAAAGCCAAAATTTCCAGGACCACACCCTTGGACAGAGCTGTCTCTTCTCTTTGAAAGACTCTTCATACAGTATAGGAATTGTGGGGGCCTACCTATTCAGGAGCAAGCTCCCAAGGTTTGTATACATCCAGCCACAGAATATTTATGGGCTTGTCCAGTTGTGAGCAGTGCAAAACATTCATGTCCACACTTATTCACTCATCCATCATTAGGGCATACACATACACATACACACACACACACACACACACACACACATTATATGTCATTGTACAGCAGAATGTTTCAATGTAGTCTTATTACTTTCAAGCCTGCACACAGTGTCATTACAATCCTAGCAATAAAACAATCTATTTCTTCTTCTCTGGCTACAGCTTAGACAGGCCCTTCTTCCTGGGGCCATTTTGAACAAGACTAGTTGTTAAGATTCCATAAACTGTCTGTATGAAAGTAGAACATCCGGTCATGGAGGTTGGTTTTCACCTTGGATCATATAAACACTTCTCTCTCCATCTGGTCACTACCAGTAATTTTCATTATTGTGAGGTGTTGGGGAAGAGAGAAGAGAATTCAGATGGAGTGTTACCCCCTGTAATGACCATCCACTATGCACAAGCAAGACTTTAATGTAGTCTGCATCCATGGAAAATTCCACATGGCTTATCCCTGCAGAGATCCATGTGTACAACAGGCTAGCTCAGGAAAGCACTTCCGTTTTTATGAAGAGAAAGACAAGCAGGTAGATGCACGAATCAAGTCAACATCCAAATACAACCGTCATCAATCTCAGAACACAGCGGTAGATGGAAGGTTAAAGGGTGGACCGTAGTCTACCGTGAAGCTAAAGACACAGGAAGAAACTCCGAAGTCTGGTGTCCCTTAGGAGACCAGTGACTCAGTGGCTCCCCATATCCTATAACATGCAGTTAAGAAGGGTAGGTGACAAAGACGATGGCACATGGCACATGCGCAGCAAGGCTGGTGCGGGTGAGAAGATGAAGAACCCACTGTTCTCTCCCAGATTTGGCTCCAGAAATTCAAAGCAGGCTTGGGTATAATTCCTAGCTGAGATGACCTCAAGGCTGAACAATCCCCGGCATATAAATGGTTGTTTCACCTGTGCAGGGTGTGGAACCATGGTCCCAGTCTAGGAGCCCCCATCTACTCTTAAGGGATGCCTGAAGTAGGGGCCTGGGGCTCATCTCCAGCTCTGCAGTGGCTTCTCTGTAGCGCCACAATTGAAGGAAATGCAGGCTCCTCACGATCAGCCCGGAGGGGATTTCCATGGGAGGGCAGCCCAGCTTGCCACCTGGAGTCTACGCACCATGGAGCCTCTGCTGTGCTTGCTAGGGGATGAGGGTGGGGGTGGGGTGTGAGAGACATTTTTGGAGATGGAGTGGGGCAAGGAATAGGATCCCTTTCATTTGACCAAAGATGCTCGGGTATTTTCCTGAGCAGGCCCGGGCACAGAGCTGGTATTTAGGAGCAACTCGGAGCTCAGGAGTGGGACTTTGCTCAACTAGGTCGACCCCACTTGGGTAGCACTGATTTGAAGCCTAGCTTTTTTTTTTTTTTAATACCAAACACTTGTAGAGAATCAACATTTTAAAACAAAAACAAAACTAACAAGTTCCAAGTGGAGAGCTGAGATGGGAGGGTATGAAATAAAATGGGGAGGAGGTGAGCAAATGGGAGCGTGTGGGAAGGAGTAGGAACCGTTTTAAAGGAAGCTGGATGTGTGGGGGAGGAAGTGTGGGAGAGAGGAAGTGGGGGTAGAGTGGAGGGGAAAGGGGCGAGTAAAGAAGGGAAGGGGCTCCGAGAAGAAGGGAGAGGAAGGTGGGAGAAGAGTGGCCGAGGGGAAGGCTGTGGAGAGGAAGGTCCTAGGAGTTCTACTGTCCCGGACTCTAAAGTTCCGCGGAACTTCTGCGTGCCTGAAGCGGTGAGGTCTCGCCTCTGTGGTGGGGAGGTTTAACTTCTTGGAGACTGGTTCAAGGACAAAGACAAAGCCTGCGCTGAGGCTTTTAAAAGTCTCAGGTTTGTTAGGGCCCTGAAGCTGGAGAGGCGCCTTGGGAAAAGCCCACAGTTCGCTGAAACAAAGCGAGGGGCTTTAGAGGCAGTGCCTGCCAGCAAGCAGGACCTTCGTGACCTCCTGCCCCGCAGCCTGGAAGCCCCCACGTCCTTGGACTTTGAACTCACACTGAAAAATCTCGACATGGGCTCAGATGCAGTGTCCTGAGGCCTGGACCTGGCTTCTGGGGCGCATCGCGCCGCTGATCGAGTGGCCTTGAGCCCCCCATCAACACCATCCTCGCGCCCATCTGGTACCTCAACTCTCTCCACCTCCTATTTGTAGCCAAGTCCCGGCGAAGCCCACTTCTTACGGCCCCGCGCACCGCCCACCCCGGCGCACTGGGGATAAAACCCGACTGCCTTGGGGAGCAGAACGATGAGCTCTAGATGCTACTGGAATGTCAGAAGTCAGAGGCCAAGGTGTCGTCCAGGGACTGTTGTCTCCAAGGACAGACAGAGGGAGCATCCTGACTAACCTAGAAAATCGCTGGCCGTCCAAGTGTGGACCGCACAGATGCAGCCAAATGAAAACACACAGGAAAGAGATTTAAATCAGCAACCCCAGCAATGCTTTCTTGCAAATGGGAAAGGTATTTTTCTTCTTCAAATCGTTTGAAATTATTCTACCTAAGTCTCCCTAGGGAGACTGGGGAGACTTTTTAAAAGGTCTCTCCAGGAAGTCAGGGTCCCTAGAATCGAGTTTGCGAGTTGGCAATGAGGGGGGAATCGTTAGAGGAAAGGATGAGAAGAAGAATCTGCCATTTTTCTCTCTCCTACCCACTTTCTGTTCAGCGAACCTCGAGAGTAAGCAAGACAGTCGCTCTAGTTTGAGCAAATTCGTTCGCCAAAGACTAACCTTCTGAAGTTAGATTATATTTTGGAAGATCTGTAGACATTGAAATTTAGCTACAGGAAGTTAAAAAAAAACCCTACGGAATGCATTCCAAATTCCAGTTAAATCCTCTAGTTGAAACTGCTCGCTGCATTTTTAAATAGCACACACATCAGTACAAATAAATGCCTGTGGAAGTCAGCCTTTGTTTGAGCAGTTTCGTTTGAAGAAATATTGAGTTTCTTTCGACAGAGATAGTCTTCTACCTTCAGAGTGGGATTGGCATAATGGAACTGGTCTTGGTGAAGAAATCTCAATTTACGTTTTTATCTTAAATAGTGTTAGAATAGTCAGAAATGTGAGAAAAAGCTTCACCCTGAGAAATCGAAACTCCTAGTCATGGCCTGTTATTTATACCACAGACCACACAATTCGCTGGATTTGGGCTGATTTCTTTCTCAGAAAAGAGAAATGATGAGTTGTTAAAAAAATAATTCCAAACAAAAATCTAAAAAAAATTTCCACGCATGCAAAACTAACTAAGTCTATGTGCTCATAGCCCACTTAAAAGTCCCTCTCACAACACGAATCTACTACGGGAAACACTCAAGAAATTAGGTAAGTTTGACATTTTCTAGAACTAAGCGACATGGTTGGCATTTCCTTAAAATTATACAACAGGCTATGGCTCAGCGTTAGAGACCAGATTCATAACTCAAATAAGATAATACATTCACATTCTAACCCATAGAATGCAGGCAACTAAAATTGGGGGACAAATTTCTAACATCTCTAAGCTAAAAGATCAAATAGAGATATAGCACACATCACTACTGCCACCAACAAAGCAACAAAATTCTATTTAATGTCATTGCTAAAAATGAAGCCTTTTCTTGCTTCTTTCGTTTCTTGGTGTGTGTGTGTGTGTGTGTGTGTGTGTGTGGCACAGACAATATTTAATAATATGACACTAGTCAATATTATTAAAACCCACCTAAAATTTTATATTTTCAGGCCAGCTGAGTTTACAGCAATATTATTTTTTCAGAGTTGAACAGAAAAAAAAAAAGTACAACTGAAGTGATACATTGAGATGAAAAACAGAGGCAACTTTCAAAGTAAACTTTGTGGCCCGTTTTCATGATTAAGTCGCTGTTTGTGCACCGAGACAAATGGAGGCAGGTGGAACACAAACTGTTGAACATTTCCCTATTTTATATGTGCAGGAAGTAATTTTGTATAACACAAACACGACTTTTAAAATGTACCATATTTCAGTTGTTCAGTTTATTGTAATGGTTAACACGAGGTATAACTTTATTTTATATATATGTTTATAAAGCACCCCCAGGGAATTTGCCACCACTTCAGCAAGATCTGTAATCAAATATCCGATGGGAGGGGCTTGTGCTATGTTCCAGGTGATGGAGGTGAACCCAGGCAGACATATAGACTAAAAACCAAGCTACATCGTCATATTTACTTTATCTGACAGTAATTGGCTGAACTGTCTGATAGGAAAACCTATTGCTAATTGAGCACGGATCCGAGATTTCTAAGATCTTTTCAGACAAGAGAAAGCAAATGCCCCAGAACATACAAGTAACTAGATACGAGTGGAACTAGATTCTGTGCCCCGATAAGCACAGTTTTTCTGCCCTACGGCGCTCACAGTTGGCAGCGCACAGGCTGTGGGGGTGTCGCAGGTGCCTGCTGCTGACGCGGGAAAGGGAGGCCACCTGGATGGGATTGGCCTGGCTGGGATCCTTGTTAGGTACCCGCTATTTAGAAACCAGTATAAAACTAGACAATTTGGAAAGGGCAATTGGAAGATGACCTGAACCCGTGTGTTAGGCAAAAAACCAAAGATCAACGCTAAAAATCAAAGGGTGGGTGGAAGTCTCCAGTGCGCTGGATCAGCGGGATGGGGATGGGAAAGGTTTGGTTAGGCCACAGATGCCACATGCTGGCGCGTTCACCAAAGAGTCCTTACAGGCCCGGTCCTGTCCAGCCTGCTACGAAGCAAGTTGACATGGGAGAGAGGTGGGGGAGAGGTAGTGGTCACAAAGGGATTTGGAGGAGACCCCACCACATGCCCCTGCAGGTAGGGAGCTGACAGTCATCTGCGTGGGTAGAGAGAAGAGGCCAGCATGAGCCTTCTGGGCCGCAGCAGGTGTGTGGATGTATCACTGAGCTGCAGGCGTTGGACAGAGGTGGGGGTGGAGATGCACCCAGTCAGGGTTCTGAGACAAGGTGTAAGTGAGGCCGAAGCACCTCTAGCAAACAAGAAAGCAAGCAGGGAAAAAGGCTTTTATCTTTTCTCCTGTCCAGATCTTGAAATCACTTGAAAGCTAAGAAAAGTGGAGAGCAGAAAAGGACAGAAGTATTTCTCTGCCTCTGCGACGGTTCTGCCTTGCAGTTGGCGGCAGGGTCGGGGACTGAGACTGGAGCATGGTTTCCTTCTGGTCGTCTGACTGGCAGCCGGGGGCGCACCGCCACTCAAAGTCCCCCACCCGGCAGCGCGGCGCACTCACCCCACCTCTGGATGTTTGCGCTTCGGATCCACAGCAAGACCAGACACTCTCTTCCCTTGGTGGACTGGCGGGCCCTTTGTAGCGACCACTGCCTCGGCCTGCAGCGTCCATACTTTCAAGTCTTAAAGCAAAAAGGCTCCTGCCACCAAGGAATGGTCTCCAGGAGCCAGGGCCTTACCACAGATGATCTTTCCCCGTCTCCCCTAGAGCACGTGGAGGGAGCCTCGTCCCAGCCTCCCCCGTGGCCCCTAGAGCTGCCTCCCCGCTGTATTTCCGCTCCCCCAAGAGCCCCGCCTCTCTCTCCTCCCAACCCTCTGTTCTTTCTTTCTAGCGCCAAGGGCATCAACTCTTCTTGCTGCTGCCTCAGGGTTCTGCAAGGCCGCTCTCCACGTAATCCGCATTCATGTTCTGTCTACAGGTTTCCCAGGGTCATCCTCAGTCACCGTGCCACCGTTCCTTCCAGTTGAGGCCAGTCTCTCCCAAACTGTGAGGTTCTACTGGAAAAAGAAAGAAAGAAAGAAAGAAAGAAAGAAAGAAAGAAAGAAAGAAAGAAAGAAAGAAAGAAAGGGAAGAGAGAGAGAGAGAGAGAGAGAGAGAGAGAGAGAGAGAGAGAGAGAAGAAACAAATAAAAGCAAGGGCGGCCTAAGGAGGAACCCTTACGTTGAAACCAGAACTAGTCCTTGTTTGGTTTTCCAAGGCTGCTCATGCATTTTGCTCTTAGTTTCACATTGGTGCCCACTACCACTCAGGGGCTAGGCATGTAGGCAGGTGGGTACCAGCAAGTGGGCTCCACCAGGCAGGTGTCCGAATCTGAGGCTACATATATTCTCCCTGCAGAATACAACCCCGGTTTCAGAAACCGAATAGTGGAGAGAAATAAGGCGTTTCGGAAAGTTGAGGCCTACACTCAGGCTCCCGAGTCCCCATCAGAAGGCGGCCTGAGCTGCGGCCACAGCTGGGTCACCTCCCTTCTGAGAACCGAGCCACCCAGTGTGTGCAGTGGGACTCCAGCCAGGTCAGAATCAATGCAGTCAACAAACACTGCTTTAACCTCCCACAAAGAACAAGGGTAGTTACAAGTATTGAGCTCTTCGCGCTAGTAGACAAACTGCTGTGCTTCTGGCCTGGTTATCCCTTTTTAAAACTACCACAATAGCCCTAGAAGAGGCAATTGGGCTTCTTTCTATAGGCCAGGAAACTGAGAAGGTCCAAAACCAAATATTGACTCAGGCCAGGATTCGAAGCATAGAGCCTCTGGCCACCAACAGAACTCGGTTGTCTTGTCTTCTACAGACCTGCTCTCTGAAGCCACTGCAAGGGCAAATACGATCTGGACCCTGCACTCAGGGACTCACAATCTAATGTGACAATCAGGCGGACTCTACACCCATGGCACTAGGTGGGGGAACTGAGAAGTGACATTACTGAGTTCGGAGGAAGAGGACCTCCAGGTAAGGCGGTCTGGCGGCGCTTCCTTGGAGGTATTTGAGTAGAGTCTCGAAAAACAGTTTTCCATTCGTGGAAGCGAGGGTGGGAAAGGCACTCCAGGTGGTGAGGACAGCTAGGACAAAGAGGAAATAGAATTTGACACGTCGCTCATATTTCCACAGATACAGGACTCTTCTCCTTAGAAATCCACAGTCCGGTATTTACTGGCCAGGAAGTTTTCCTGCCCTGGAGCAGCTGGAAAGCTTGTGGCATCCTTCCAAGACTTTGTTGGTTCACAGACAGTGAGCTTCTCAGAACCGCCCCTGGTCGGAAAGGTGCAACTAGGTGGAGCGGGAATCGGTGATTCGGACACTCGGTTCTTTGCAGCTTCTCCCACGGCGACTTGGACCTCAGGACCCTATTCTAGTCCCTGTCTATTCCTGGTAGCGCAGCAACATCCCACTGGGTGGACGCAGAGGGCGTGGCCCACATACGCCAGAACCAATTGGGAAGGAGGCCAGGATGCCGACCCCGCCCCTCGACGTGACGCAGGGCCCCCGGACAGAGGCTTCACAGCCCCGGCCCCAGTCCTTGCAGTGGCTGTAACAAAACCCAGACCCCCAGGTCCCGGCCAATGGAGGCGATTTAGACTGGAGCTGGACCGCGTCTGTCAAAGCTCGACTCCGCACCACCGCGGAGTCCAGAAGAAGAGCTGGAGCCACCGCACTCCCTCCCCGCCCCCGCCGGGATTTATTGAGTATTTGGACTGGACAATTAAGTGGCCCTGATGATGTTACCAAGCCCGGTCACCTCCACCCCTTTCTCAGTCAAAGACATTTTGAATCTGGAGCAGCAGCGGCACTTCCACGGAGCTCACTTGCAGGCGGAATTGGAGCAACACTTCCACCCGGCGCCCTGCATGCTGGCCGCGGCTGAAGGGACTCAGTTTTCTGATGCAGGGGAAGACGACGAGGAAGAAGAGGGAGAGAAACTGTCCTATTTGAACTCACTAGCCGCTGCCGAGGGCCATGGAGATTCGGGTCTCTGTCCTCAGAGCTATGTCCATACAGTTCTTCGAGACTCTTGCAGCGGGCCCAAGGAACATGAAGAGGAGGTCGTGAGCGAACGGAGCCAAAGTGAGTAGAAGGGAGAAAGTGTCCATACACCTGGGGCAATGGCTCAGCGCCCATAAACAACCCATAAACCTCGCCAGCATGGCCACCCGCCCCTTTCACATTCGGCTAGGGTCATGCCTACGCCAGGTTCAAGGACAGCTCTGCAAAGCACAGGTACCCGAGACGGAGCTGGGGCAGAGGAAAAAGAGGAAGAGAGAGCTACTCTTCCCGGAGCAGGGGGCCGGAGCAGTCCCCGCGGGAAGGAAAAGTGATTATTGCAATTCTGGTTTCCTTGAGCAATGAGTGACAGGGTCCCAAAGGTTGGGTCTTAACTTCTTCGTGTGTGTGTGTGTGTGTGTGTGTGTGTGTGTGTGTGTGTTCTCTCACACACCCCTCTTCTTTAAAAAAAGGGGGGGTCAGTTGTCTGCCATTTTTCTGTCTTTCTTCTAATGTGAGGTGAGTTCGGTGAGGCCAGGGCAGTCACCCCGGCTTTTCCGAAAAGGCAGTGCAAGCAGGTTTGTGTTTTGACCGTCCTTTTGGACAAGAAACTTTGATAGACAGCACCTCACTTCTGAGCTTGCAGATCTCCGTTCTCACACCGGTAGAACTCGGCGGAGAGGGGATGGTCTTTGTGGAGAAGCGCGATCCATATCAGATGACCGCAGCAAGTCACACCCATGAGGTGAAGGCCTCTAAAAAATTAATAGTGCTCGCTCTGTGTCTCATACTGCAAGCAGAGCAGAACGGTTGAAGTTCCTAATTTAGTTGGGGATTCTGGCAGCTTAGCAGATCAGAGGTGAGTTAGGCTGGAAAGTCAGATAACCGAATAAGCCCGTAAGGAAATGTCTGAAAGGGAAACAGAATCAAAGATTCTCTTTCCAAGTGGAGATTTGATTTGGCTGAGACCAAGATCTTACAGTTCTCCAGGCCTAACACAGGCATGCAACTATCTAAATTGGTCCATCCAACTTCTTTTCCTCTGAAAGGTAATACAAACATTGTCACAGACACATTCTTAGTAGTTTTGAGAATTACAAAAAAAAAAATCAATACTTGAGCTGCATATACGCCTTTCACTTAGATATTTCCGAACAGAAAAATTTTTGCAGTCAACCCTTGCATTCAGGCCGCCTGTCCCCAATGCCAACTCGTTTCACACCTTCAGGGGAGTGGAAAGGCAAATACTGTCGTGTTCCGCAATCGCCTGAAAATTGTCATTAGTCCCTGGACCCCGCACACTTACTCTGTTTTCTCGCTGATGCTCAAATCTAACAAATGCGAGCTAACTACTCCCCACCGAACATGTCTTCTTCCGGGAGGTGCTCCGCTTGACGCGGGAGCCACCAAGAACCAGAATCGCAGGTACAATCTACCGTTTACTACGGAGAGTTCTGTGCTTCCGGGGCGTAGGGGTGGCATCCTGGGAACTAGAAAGGCTAACGTCTTGCTTCTCCCTTAGAAAGCTGCCAGTTGAAGAAGTCTCTCGAAGCGGCGGGAGACTGTAAGGCGAGCGAGGACGGCGAGAGGCCGAAGCCGCGCAGCCGCCGGAAGCCGCGGGTGCTCTTCTCGCAAGCCCAGGTCTTCGAGCTGGAGCGCAGGTTCAAGCAGCAGCGGTACCTGTCGGCGCCCGAGCGCGAGCATCTCGCCAGCAGCCTGAAGCTCACGTCCACGCAGGTGAAAATCTGGTTCCAGAATCGCAGGTACAAGTGCAAGAGACAGCGGCAGGACAAGTCCCTGGAGCTGGGGACGCACGCGCCGCCGCCGCCACCCCGCCGCGTGGCAGTGCCGGTGCTCGTGCGGGACGGCAAGCCGTGCGTCACGCCCAGCGCGCAAGCCTACGGCTCGCCCTACGGCGTGGGCGCCGGCGCCTACTCCTACAACAGCTTCCCCGCCTACGGCTACGGGAACTCGGCCGCCGCCGCCGCTGCAGCAGCCGCCGCCGCAGCGGCAGCCGCGGCTTACAGCGGCAGCTACGGCTGCGCCTACCCGACCGGCGGCGGCGGTGGCGGCGGGGGTGGCGGCGCGGCCTCCGCGGCGACCACCGCCATGCAACCCGCCTGCAGCGCCACCGGCGGCGGATCCTTTGTGAACGTGAGCAACCTGGGAGGCTTCGGCAGCGGCGGCGGCGCGCAACCCTTGCATCAAGGTGCCGCAGCCGGGGCCGCGTGCGCGCAGGGGACCTTGCAGGGCATCAGGGCTTGGTAAGGTCTGGGCGGGACGCGCAGCGGGCGTCCTACCGCACGCTGGGCGCCGCGGGAATGAGACACGAGAAAGGACAGACCCAAGGGCCAGGTCCCCTCGTTAAAATAAAATACAGACGTATCGCTCCTTCCAAGGGGCCAGGATCGCAGCACACTCCAGGCCTGGGGCATGGGGCTCAGCGGAGAAAGGACGCCCTGGTCCAGTCGTCAAGACTGTCTGAGACAGAAACACCGGCCGGGTGCCAGGGAAGAGGTGGCCCCCCACCCTGACTGTGCGGGGAGTGCGGGAGGCTGGGACTCCGGCTGTTGCTTGCTTTCCGGAGGAGGAGGAGGGCCTCCTGCCTTCCTGTGGCTTTCTCGAAGCGTGGTCGGGGAACCGAACCGAACAGGGGGGAAAAAAAGAAAGAAAGATCAATAAACGAAGAAAAGTAGTTGGAGAGAGAGCGCGAAGAAGAGGAAAATGGGGTACTAGCTCGAGAAATCCCACCCATCCGCAGCCCCTTTTGCTAGCCCGGAGCGCCACAACGCTGTGGAGGTTTCCTTTTCCAACTATTTCCCTTTGAGACAGACTCCACCCGGATCCCTGGATTGTCAGGGGACTCTTCTTGGAGACCACCGTCGCAGTGAGATCGAAGTTGAGGGGGGAAGGGAGGCAGCTGAGCAAATCCAAAACCTGACGGCCCAATCTAGGTTGTTGCCAGGTTGGTTTCCTTTCTGTTTTGTATTCTGTATTCCGCACATTATCTCTGTATAACTATATCCACACGCCGTGTACACATCCGCTGTCACACACTACAGGAGTCAATAAAGAAGGTGCAATATTTCTGAGCTGTTTGGCTTGCTGCAAGACTTGTTTAGCCCCAAAGACTGGGGAGCCCCCCACCTTAAACAGGACCGGAAGGGAGGGAAAGTACCCTGGCCATCTCTGCCTGGTGCCCCTGAGCCAGGCCCCTGGCTGCAAGTTTGGTCTCTTCTTCAGCTTTGTTTGTTCATTTCTTTTTAGCGTTGTGAGCCGAACAGGCTGGAGGGAGGCTCTGGGTCTCCTGAGGTCGGGGACTTTGTAATCCCCCACACCCCCGCTACATTTTACCCAGATGCACTGACTTGGTGCGGGGGGACCCGCCTCGGTCAAGTTGAGACTCTGCCCCACCTCCAGGGTCTCCGAGGAAGAAAAGTTGGCCTCCAGGCTCAGCCTTGGGCGGCTCCTCCCTCGGCCGCCACCGGCCTTGGAGCTCGCCCGGGGGCGCTGCACCGCGCCGCGCCCCGCCGCGGCCGAGCTCTCCCCCTCGGCCGCCCTCCCTTCTCCCCCGGCGGCCGCGGCTTTATGCGGCTCCTTGTCACTTGCGGAGAATGCCTGCACGAGGCCAGTGCTGCCACACGGCCGATTGTGAGCGTGCCAAGGCGGGTGAATGGGGAGGCCTCTGAGCGCTGCGCCATTGTGGGGCCGGCCCCCGGCTGAAAGGCGGCTCTGGGCCGGGAAGGTGCGGAAAGAATGGCTTTTTATTGGAGTTCCGAACAAAAGGTGTGGTAGGAAGGCGAGGTCCCCTACCCGAACAAAAACCCCAGCGCGTCGGATTGACGTCCTCCCCGAGCTCCCCATTGCTTCTCAGAGCGGGGGCTTTGTGCAGCAGTCTGCTCAACAGAGGGACAGAGAAATGCGCGGGGGGTTTTGTTCCCCGCATTTTTTTTGTGTGTGGGGGAAGGGGTGGCTGGGGGGCCGGGGACTGGGCGGGCAGCAGGGAGGGGCGCGCTGATTAGGCCGGGAGGGCCAGGGCGCTGAGAGGTTCAGCGGGAGTCGGCCGCCTGAATGCAGGGTCATTATTGCTACAAGTTTAGCAATTTCGCCCGTGCTGGAGGGGTGGGGGCTGTTGGGTTGCTGCGGGGCCGCTGGGCTGGGGAGCTAGAGAGAGGCTGAAAGAAAAAAACTGGGAGGAGGAGAAAGACAGGAAGGCAGGCTGCTCGGCAGGCCAGCAAGACAGTGTCCCCAGACTCTCTGACCGCCCAAGATGCCCTTGGACTCATCCCCAAAGGGCCTAGCCCAAGGCTGTATAAGAAGCTGGAGGGAGGAGGGAGACTTGTCTTTGCTCTCTGGTGGCTGAAGAGTCTCAGAGCTGGACTTGAGTTAGTGCACGAGACTCCTGAACCCCCCATTTCGTTTAATCTTAACTTTCGGTGAGCTAGAACCCCTCCTCCCACAACCCCATAATCACCCAAGCCACTCTCTTACCCTGCCTTGGGCATTTTTTTTAGCCCTGAGATCCTTAAGCTGAAGGCTGGAGAAGGTGTTCTCAGTTTCTCACTAGCTGGGAAAAATTCATGCAACTGTGTACACCTAGAACCTAGCTATTTACTCTGTCCTAGACGTTGGGAGTGGATGGTGGGAAATCACCGTCCAGAGATTCCTGGAATTCATTTTTGTGTATGTTAAGTGGGCTGGTGGGGGTGTGTCAACAACCAAATAAATGTGTTATTGTTGTTGGTTTAATATCGGGTAGCCTTAAAGTGTAAATAGAATAAAATACTAAAAATTGAAGTCCTTTGAGATAAGAGAGAAAGACATTTACATTGATACTTGACTAGGAAAATTTAAAAAAACGAAGCCAACCTTCTCTCTCAGCCCTAAAACCTCTGCAGTGTGATGATGTCTCCTTCTCTGGGACATAATTTTTGTAAGAATATATATATATATATATATATATATATATATATATAT